CTGCTCCCTTGGGCCAAGCCCCCAGTGCTTGCTGTTCCAGGGGCTTTGCCCCCAGGCTTAATTTATCATGCATTTCCCTGGGCTTCCAATATCAATACATTTGTCCTCACCACCGGTCACCCATGAGACTACCATTGAGAGGATTGGCTGACTAGAGGCTAAGCCACCTCCAGAGCCTTCACACCACAGGCAAACCCTGGGGATTTCTCAACAACCTTCCTCAAGAACAGGTTTGCCACCTTTGTCTGCCACATCTTACATCCCATTATTGGAGCACATTGTTGCAACAATGACCTCCATGAATATCACTCTTGCCTCTGCTATCACTCTTGAGCCTCTTACTTCCTTCTATGCCCTGCTGATGTCATCATCTGTGATACCTTTGGAATTTTAGTGTACTCCAAACCTTGTTCTCTATGGATTATACAAAAGAGATGTAGGGCATGGAATGAAATGGCATGTTAGTAGTAGCATTGGTATTCCTCCACGCACTTCTGAAGAAACACAGTCAGTAACACAGATGTCTTTATCACATACAAACAATCCTGTGTGCTAAGTTTTCTCACTCCTACATGTGTCACTGAATGAAATACTTCATCAATAGGATTAAATGGGTAACAACTGTAATAAAGTGTTCAGTGGAATACACACTGCTTGATTCACATGAACAGTAACAATAACATTAACATCAAAATTAGGTCTTTAAATAGAACATTGCAGATAAGACCCTTTAAGATTTTACTGTGGCAAACATCCATCTGGATGACAGCCAGCATTTTAATATGTCCCTAACATCTCCATGTATCAACTCAAATTAATCTGTAAAGTAAGTCAGGTTGTACTGGAAAACCACAACAGGAACATCACTAATTTCTTAGAGAAGGAAGACAAATTGGAAGACAAAACACGGTTTCAAAGACCACAACAGCTCAGTTATGATCAACACCTAAAAATAACTGCACTATTATCCAGAGGGATTTATTGCCAATTTAAATCTTATCTGCAACAGTATAATATTACTGTGCACAAGATTTAACTGCACTTACTCACAATTTAAAATTACTCAAATCAACACATTCTATGCCAACACAGCAAAGACTGCTTTTACCCCAAATAAAACAAGATCATAAGTTCTTTGTATTTTAGTAATATTTGCAACACAATATAATATTAAATGAACTATGATCAACAGCCAAATAAATTCTTTGTCCCATAAAAGAACACCTCAATAATCAGACAATTTTAAATTGAAGGATACAGCTTCAAACAAGAGCGTGGCACCAATCAGCAATAAAAAAAAACTTCTAAATTAATGAGATTTATTTTTAATAGCTGGCACCCACAAGATCCTTTAGAATTTGAAGACAATTAAGCTAATTATTTTGGTGACTGCTGCCAATGATCTTGTCACGAAGTGTGCCAAATGTCCCCTGTACCTGTCGTAGATGTAGACGCAATGTATCAGAAAATTGCTTTTGTAATTGTTGCACCTCAGAAATCTCTCGTCGGAGGTTTTCGTATTCTTCTCTCACCTGGTTAACACTCCGCAGGAGTTTCAGCACAGACACCTGCTAGACAATAAACTCATATGCAATAGTTCCTCACAGTAAATATATCTTGCATAAGCAACATGCAATTTGCTAACTTGTACAACAAACCTCTTACTGTTTAGTGCAATTAAAGTGAGGTCATCTTCACATGTAGCATTCTTAATAGAAGCAGCCAATTAAGAGTGGGGTATAAATTACTTTAACATAATTTTATTTTATTTAAGTGACCATGTTTTGTGATAGTTCTAACATGCACACCTATATAAAACACAAATTTTGAAAGGAGTATCATATATTTTACAAAAGCAATTTTTCTAAGTAAACACAAGTTAAATTCAACATAACATAATGAATTTAAAGCAGTAAATAAAAATAAGTACTATCTGCCTATTAAAAAAAGTGAAAATATAGTCAGTCTTCTTAACAGAGCCTGAGAACTGGTGTAAGGTTCTTAAAAGAAATTATTATGCCAATAATAAATACAAATGATTTACTTATTTGGGGTTTATTTCACAATGCTCTTAGTAGCCCAGACTACATAACATTGAATTATAACAACATTAATGAACTGTGAAGAACATGGAAAGGAAGGGGAATAGTCTAATTTAAGGGACTAACTTAGCATTTACCATAGGAACTTGGGAAAACCATGAAGAACCTCAGTCATGACAGCTGATCTCAGGGCTAAGATTCAAATCCACATCCTCCCACAAACATACAAAGGAAAAATGCTTTACCACTTAGCCATAACATACAATACATGGAAGTAATGAATGCAATGATGAGTGAACAACTGTCAATACTAACCAACAATTCCATATTAAAAAATAAAACCTACTTGGGTAAGAAACTGCCTATAGCACATTGCGGAGGAAGATGGGTTGATGTTTGTAACATACAAAATCCAGACATTTATTGTGAATAAATCTACTACTGGGAAGGGTGCTGATTTGAAGATGGAAACATAACCTAGAATAAGCTGCCTATGATATAACAGTTACTGATCCACACCACTTTTTTGCTGTTTCACAGGTCTAGTGGATTCTTCCATGATGAAAGAGTCACCTACCCATTTTCTTTGACTATCTAACATATAGCATGTAAACACATTTGAGTTTGAATGCAGTTGCTTATAACCACAACCAATAAAATTTGTGACACGGGGAAAAGGGTAGTGTTAAGTGTTGGTAACAAAAACAGATGTGCACCCTATTTCAAATAACAATAAAACACAGCCAACTATGGCACCTGAGAGTCAAAACATTACTACCCTGAGGACGCATTATTCCATTGGGCAAGTGAATGCAAACAGATAAAACTCAACACGGATTTGTAAAGCTCCTCTTATGTTTCCTTCAAATACAACATATATGTATTTACTTTCTTACCTCTGGAAGCTCACTGCCATCAACATGCACAACTTGTTTTTCATATTGGTCTAACTTCCATGCAATCGTGTCCAGTGTTTTATCAGCCTTCCGTACCTTTAATAAGAACGCAAATATTGATTCACGTTTCTCTACTGATATAAGAAGCTACAAATGTTAGACTAATTACCAACTCAACGTCACTTCCAAATGACAATTAATAACACAACAGATACAACGTAATTACCTACCGATTGTTCCAATTGAACAACTGCCGTTTCCATTGTGCTGTATTGTATTGTAACTATCAAACACGAGACAAAACACCGGCAATCGACACTAACAACCGCAAACTTTCAAGTACGAAGAGAATTAACCCTAACCTGTGAACTTCACTATATTCGTCGTAATCAATCTATTTCATCACAACGACTTTACATCCCCCATCAGAGAAACCTATGTTAAGTATTAGCTTTCACCGCACGAGGGCAGGAAATGATATTACATACGTGCGCTAAACCGGCGACCTACTGAATTAACAGAAAGAAATAAAAAAATACCAAGCAATCAACCGTTGGTAAAATGCACTTTGTAGTAGAGACATTTTTCGGGCTATTAGCTTACCTATTATTTTCCTTTCCCCGTAAGTCAACAATGTAAACATGAAAATATATAAGGCCTACTGAAGTCACTAAATATATTCCGCAATTTTAGATTTACATGTGCCCCCGAAAAAAATACATAAATATCTAGAAGGAAGAGAAATATATACCTAAAGATATGGTTACTGCCATGTATCCGTTCCTTGTCAGGTCCACGCAAGCTAAAATCAATAATATAATTAGTTAAAGTGTTGAAAGTTTAAACGAATCTACAGTTACAGTTACCAAGGTCGAATAATTCAAACATCATGCGGCCATGTTTTAGTAACAAGATTGTGGGTTGTGTTAATTTGTAATGAATCTATTGTTCTACGAAGTATATGTATGCAAATATTGCTTTGCCCAATAAGCAAGCGTATCAATTACCTAATCCGACCCAATTTCGTGTCTTCACTGCTGATATCTGCGTCCACACTTTAACTAGAGAATGTCTGGATGGAAAGTAATGGAATTTCGTATCGACATTATGTAGAAGGTGATTGCCGTAAAATAATAATTCTGATTTTCATTTGCTAGGTAATACCAACGTTAGGGTTCCTTGAACACGTGAGGTAAAATGATTGACACCATAATGCATGTGTCTATGCGTATGGGCATCACAAACCTAACCTCGTGCCTTCATTGCTACGTGCAACAATTAAGGAAAACCAGAAGGACCTCAGCAGTGTCTGGGTTAAGACTGGAACTCATGTGAATATGAATACTACACCAAGGTGTTCAACGAAGTTTTGTCTCTAACAATTTCACTAACCCCATGGAACACAGTCCCCGAAAAGTTCCCATTCACTCAGCTGTTCAGAAAATCGACCACTTTATATGAAACACGACAGTGCATTAGAGAGCTTAAAAGTGCACATAACGTGTTCCTATCCGGAACCAGATTAAACTAGCTCGCACTCACGCTTTATTTCTCTAATATATGAATCAATATTAACTTCTATGCACCTCCCTCCAAATTTTCAGACCAACATCTCACCATGCACTCTACAAGAACGGTCCATATTACCCTCAGCTCGATGACCCTCATAGTACACGCTGAACAGTACTCCCCATATTCAATCTCTCATGTTCGCCTGTTACTTCCTTCTCGGTACTTTGTTTTCAAATACACTCAATAAATAAAAATGTCCTGTTACATGATATATTTTAACATTAAAGACAGCTGTTTAAATATATGACACAGCAGAGACTATTTTTGGGAAATGTCACTTTATTAAGCTTTCAAAGAAATCACATACTATTACAGAAAACACAAGGGTTCATAAGGTGTTCAGTATACATGTTCTAGAAACTGCGCCAACCATGTTAGTACCGTAGTCGGATGTTAACCAGTGGAATTTGTTGCTGTAACAAAAACATACATTCAAAATTTTAAAAATCTGTTACATCAATTCAACCATTTAAAGTCCAATAGTATCTACAGGGCTATTCAAAAAGATTGTCGGGGTTTTGTGAATTTTTGTGGGGCAATGCATTAAACATACGACTATTATCATTAATCTGGTGGATAGAGAAACTCTCAAAGTTTTGTTCTGTACCGCCCGCCATCCAGTAGTTACGCGATTGGCCGCCAGGTGCCAGATTTTGCAATATGACGTCTATATGCACCAATGTAGCACCTGCTTTAACAATATCTAACTCTGTATTTTGCCCGCAAAAGGTATTTATGAATTTCATAAACAGCTATCATTTCTCTAAACAGCATTAACCAGTCCTTTGTAAAGGAAAAGTGTCTGGTTTCTTTGTGGTAGGGACTGAATCCTTAAATACTAATGAGACGAACTTCGGCTTCAAAGGGTTAACAGCGCTGAATCTCATCTTTTCTACGGGGCACTTGATACTTATTTGAAATCTTACCACTGCCCGACCTATAAAAAAAGAAGAAGAAGAAATAAAAGACGTAACAAAAGAAAATATAAAGTTTGTCATCTGAGAGGATAATTAGTGGTTCTGTTGGAGATTGGAGTTTGAATCCCGGCAGGGCAACCACAACGTATAGGCCCACCCAGCGTCCCATTCAATGGGTGCCGGTATTCTTCCATAGGGGATAAAGAGGCCGGGGCCTGAAACTGCCTACTTACCTCCATCCAGAGTTGTGGTTACTAATGCAACTGCATTCGCTACCCGTACGTCCACTGGTTCCAGTCCAACCCCTACTTGGTAAGCAAGCCTCTCTGCTGCATGTCTTACCGTTCATCAATGTTGGTCTTCTGGATAATAACAACGTTTCGGACTGACATACTGTCTCCATCTTCAGGGCTGACAGTATATTCCTCCTAAACGATGGTATCTACCTGGTGTGACAAACCGGGAGACCAATATAGACATATTCGTCGATGTGAAATGTCATCTTACCGTTTGGCGCTCCGTTGCCTCCTCGACCACCGCGACAAGCAGGTCCCCCAGGGCTACCATTGGCGTGGGGTCCATCAGGGGCATGGGCCCCGTATACCACACTCTCCCACTGCAAACATAACCACATATTCATTTAATACCTTTGACACCATATTCGAAATCCTGTGTCGTTCGAAGTTGTTTTATACGGAAATTTCTGTTTTACTAAACCTTTATATTTCTACTCCTGCCTGTTGCCTCGAGCAGGGTGAGCGGGGCTCATAATTGTCAGTTATATGAATCTTCTAATACACCAACATTAATAACAATTATTATGACATAGTGCGTAGAGATTATAATATATCAGGACGTAATTCTCCAAATTAAAGTTAAAACAACTTCTTTATGTGTGCGCTAAAAAGAAACTAAGATTTGGGGAACTGAGAATAGGGCCTATTACAAAATGAGAACATAGATTTATCTAGCTTACCTGATTTTGTTTGTATCGTTAAACCATAGCTAGGATTCAAGAATCATTAAATGTGTATAGAGTGTACTACAGCAGTCGCTTGGAAGAACATGCTAATTGGAGAATAATTAAACTAGATGTTAATTAAATGGCTTGCGATAATTACTTAGGTGACTTAGGATTAAGTCCAATAATGGCATTCACTTTCCTTCTTCTGGGTCAGAGAATTACTTAATGTCTTCGCGCCTTAAAATGCTGTGGTATTTTTAAATAAGAAACCTAGTAATCCTATCATAAAATAGCCAAATATTCCAATTATTTTGTATTTATTCGTGAATAACAGACAACCACCACCACGGTGGTCTAGCGGTTAGAACGCTGGCCTTGTAATCCTGGGGTCTCGGGTTCAATTCCCGGTGGTGCTCAGATTTATAACTTGTGTTTGGCAAGGCCGTGGTCTAAGCAACACCGAGTTTTCCTCCGGGGGCTTCCCCGGTTTCTCCGTGGCATCCCAACAATTACTCCATTCACACACAGAAGAAGGCAATGGCAAACCACTTGTGGATCATCTGCCAAGAACGTATATGAACAGATCCCAGTCCGAGAAAAGGATAGAATGATCCTGTTCATATGGACCTGTCGTCAGACAGAACACTAAATAATAAATAAACAGACAACCGCGATTTAAAACGCACTTACCATGATGCAGCACATAGCAACAGCCATGATTACTACCGTAAGAATCAGCTTCATGTCGAGTGTTCTATTTGCTTCCTACTGACGAAAAGTACAACGTTACCCGTATCCGACTGCCATATTTATACTGTAGAATGAACTCAAATCACTTCCTCATCATTACCAACATCCGACAGCCGACCATAAATGTCACATCACTGATAAATCAACAAATATTTGTCATCATGTTCACGCTCTTGTAGTTTTAAATGAGACTTCCACAATGTCAGTTTGTTCATAATTGATGCGGAAATGTGTTTCGAGTGCGCCAGAAATATATATAAATATTGTACTAGTTTTGGTATGTATAATTTGTTTTGACCGTCTAATCCATCACTCATAATATTATTACTAACGATCAGCGATGTTTTTTTTTCACAGATGTCGCGTCATGCGAACAAGGTTTGCACCGTCCGGAACATTTTAACTAGTTCAATGACGCCTCTAAAATTTATTTCAAGGTATGATTATGTAGATGGTGTCTTCTGTTTCATCATTTGTCATATCCGGTAATGGTGGTAAAATAAAGATAATTTGAACGAGTTGAAAAATAAGTTATAATAAGCACTCCGTTTCAGAGGACACAGAATTTCAGGGTAGACCTGGACCTGCCTACCTGGCTGTGGTATCAACATTTCAGATAGGAGAATCCATTGGGCAGGGTGGCGTGGGCGAAGGAAGGACAGGTGGAAAAATACATGCTGTAACCAGTTGATCTCGAACCTGAAACCTTCTACTCAGAACACCTCCCCTTTAGACCACCAGGCTCCCTATTTACATATGTTAATTTAAAAGTTATAGCCACAAAATTAAATTTGTCATTGTTTATTTAATGACGTTTGCAAAAACTTTAAAGACGTTAAAATATAAGTAGCTAAGTAACTGACTGACCAAGTGACTACCATCTGACAATGACCATGAAAATTTGGTACATATTTTATGTTTCTCATACCTGAGTTACATGTTCAGACTAACATTTCACTCTGATTTTAATACCCTTTCATACGCGGATGTAGATGAATATAATCTCCAAAACACTGTAGTCCAATTTTATTATAAATACTAGCAAATAGTCCATTAAAAAGATGGGAAAAATCTAAAAGTGAACACATATAATCATAAATATTATCCCATAAGGCCCAAAATTATTTAGTTTTATTATATTAATACATTGTGAAAAAAGACTATGTACGAAGTCCGACAATTAAATAACGACAGTGTACTTACATGATGACCGTATTATATTTTATTCCGAACTGCAGCTATACATGAATTCCAGCAATATTTACAACTACCGAGAAGTCATTCTCTTCCAGATTATTCAGAACGGCTGCCTTATCCTGAATCTCTTCGACAATTTCAAAATGTGATCCTTGAGATAATTTTTCATGGCAGGAAAGAGGAACAAATCACATAGAATAAAATCTGGTGAACAAGTTGGGTGTTCCTGGACCAAGACTGATTATTCTGCCAAAAAAAAATTCTTGTGGGAAAGTGTTCTGTCATTCTCCTCCTCCGCTGCAGTTAGTCGTTAGTAAGGTTGTTGCACACCATTTTTGCACAATTTCTTCATCAAATTTTCCGTCAAAATCAATATGTTAATATACAGTTATTCTGCAATAATTCTGACAAGACGTCGATCATGTCCCCCCCTCCCAAACTTATGACCTTTTCGATGTTTTCATCCGATTTTTTTTTACCGGACGTCGAAGTTGGCTGTCAAACTCCACTTCACGTGCTCTTGATGTAACCTCTCATCCACACGCGTGCTTCAAAAATTTAAAAGATTTCCGCTGGTTTTATTCCAAGCTTGAAAAAATAAGTTCGTATATTGATTGTTTATAGTTTGCTACCACAGATTATACAGTGTTTAATTAAGGTATTTATCGATTGGCGGCAGCACTCGTCATCGACTCACGCTTCCCAAGAGCCAGTTTTCGTTATTTAAATGTCAGACCTCGCATATCTTTAACAGAGCGTTATAGTCAGTTTGTACAATAATTGGGTTTCATCACATATCTTAAACGTATAATTGTGTTGACGGCAAATAGTAAAAATAAGACTCAAACATTCTAAGCCAATGTAACGCAACCAGCGTACTATCACATAGGCCTCTATGTACAGACACTTGAGATATGGCAAGCTCGACTACACACAACAAATAAAATTTCATCATTAGTTCACATGTTCTTCTTCAGGACCCCGCTCAGCAGCAATGCGCTCGTGTTCAGCCGCAATCCGTGCGAAAAGGTCTGCGTGTTGTGCCTTAGCCGCTGCGACTGTAGGGGTGTCAGCCACAGGGTTGCTGAGTACGGGGTGAAATCCTTGAGCATCGGCCACATACTCCACAGTCCGCACCTGATATCGGGGATCCACGTACGCAAACATTCCTGCGTGAGACACAGTTAAGTTCACTGCATAACTCCATTTGAATATACATAGGGACTGTTTTGCAGAACAGGGCTTTAATTTGTCATAATGGAAATCACGAATGCGTTAATGTTGTGTAGGACAAGCCATTATGATTTACCGCCAATATCAAATTTAGTCGAAATTCGTCAAGTCAGTAATTCGAAGTGTTACGCCTAATACTTTGGTTTCGTGTTAACAAGAGGTTTTGTAAATTCGTCTGCTTAAACAAACAATCGAACTCATGTTCTGACAAAGGCCAGTTGTTATCGACACGAGAGCGCTCTTAGCTGTAACAATGAAGTTGCAATTTCCATTTCTTGCCACACAGACATTTACATTGTTCACTTCAATCCGATGACATTTCGAAGCAGCTAAATACCCTAACTTCGTCCAAACGGACGGACGTCTCATAACTGTGGATTAAATTTTGCAAATTCGAAGTCGGTGCCCTTAAGTGTGAAAAACTGAAAATTCGACAAAATAGATTCTCAGCTTCTTGACTTCCATCTCGTACAAAGCAAAGTATGAAAAACGTTAGCGACTAGACAAAAATTCGCCATGAGCTGTTCGACCGGTGTTCAACTCCCGGCAGGGGCAAAGATGGTTGGTTCTCTTTGCCACCTCGTCTATACCGGTTTTGGGGCCCACCCAGCTTCATGTCCAGTGGGTATCGTAGGTACCTTTCCCCGTGATAAAACCGGACGGGATCTAAAATTCAACACTAATCTCAATCTACTGCCGGCCAAGAATGCGTGGACCTATAATTCCACTCCTCCATTCGCCTTCATGGCACAGGGACACCTTTACAGTTTTACAAGAGAAAACTAGCAGAGTAATTTGAAATTATTTTTACATAATTATCAACGTAGAAACATACTACAACTTTCGTTTCATTTACAAAACTGCTGAACAGATTTTGATTCAATTTCGCATTCAGAGTGTACACAGACAGATGTGGCGGCCAATTTAATTTTGGTTAAAATCGATCTAATATAGATAACCCTTACTTTACGTGAACCTCGTATAGACATTTATCAGTTTGTATTTCCCAAATGTCGTGATTTTAAATATGGAACGAATTTTGAGTTTATGAATTTTTACAAAGAACATACGTACAATAATTTTTTTGAAATGTTACGAAGATATACATGTCAGTCCTGTGTAGATACATACCGCGGATGGTTCCAGAGCCATCACTCGTCTCAGAATGTGTTCTGTCTACGTGACCCGGGTAACGACCCGCAGCGTACGTGAAGCTGTAAGGCTGTGGGGGCTCAACAGGTGTTTCAGACTCTACCAGGTCCTTAGGGTCGGCGGCCCAAATACACGTCGACATCATAAGAATCACCAGAACCTGTCGACATTACAAGAAGCTTATACCACGTGAGAAGGATGTTACTTTCGGCTCAAGGTTTTGAACTAGGCACGTCAGACCCAATATGTCAATATTTAAACAGCCCACTTTTGTTACGCGACTGTCCAAGCAATATGGAAATCCGATAAATGAGCGCTGTAGCATTGCCATGCCAGCTTCAGAAATCTTATACGAGAGTCGTTTCTGTTACTGTACGAAGGACCAAGGCATCGGAAGTCTGTAGACATTATCTTCTACAGAACCTCAGAAGAAGATATCTAGTGGTGACAAGTGCGGAGACCTTGCTGGTCAATTAACTGCACCACTCGCCCCGCTCATCACGTTCTGTACAAATTTCAGGCAGCTGAATATCAAAATAACTCTTACATAAAAATGGAAAAGAAACAATGGTACTTGTGGGTTATCGGGACACAAAACGTGAGAGTCAAATATCTGGAGTTGGATTGGCACGGAAAACTGCGCATGCGTATAAAATATAATAATTTTCAAGTATATGTCATTTATCCACACACATTAACCTAACCTAACCTATTTTTAAAGCGATGTGTCCCGATAACCCACAAGTACCAAAGCAATTTTTAATATTATGTTTCCATCTACATCTATGCCCCCCAAGTGATCATTTCAGGTTTTCCATGAACCGTTTCGTATACATTTCTCATCTCTTCCATGCCCAGACATGTCCTGCCAATCTCATCTAGCAAAATTTTAACTTCATTAGGTAATTTTCTGAGTAATCCTTTTTTCTTTAACTTCTCTTCGGCTCAAACATTCTGTTTTGTACATTGTAATAATGAGATTTTTAAATAGGGGGCAAGAAGATAAAGGCGTTTTATAAATTACTTTCCAACGTGTTTATTTCTACGCGTCTTTGACATACGAACCAGTTTTAGCCTCGAACGCGGAACAAAAAATTTCATCAAAGCCCTTCAAGGACGCTGCCAATGAGCGAACTACGTGAGTCACGACAGAAGAATGACGCATGCGCCACACCCAGGATCGAGTGTTGTTCTCTTAATCAGACACAAAATGTGCAATTTCAAACAAAAACAAGGGCAAACTTGGCCAAGAGACCGGCTGTACTGACAGATTTTCGTCGCTTATCTCAGTCCCTCAGAGTAAACAACCAGGATAACTGTTAAACAATGCACACGTGTGGGCAACTACGTGAATCTAGTGAACTTGGACACGAGTCTTGATCCGTTTTATTTTTTAACACTTCTCCAGAAAAACATCTGGATCACATGTTATGGCAGACAACGATAAGTTTCCTTTTTATAACACTTGCAAATTCGTAACACCGAGTTCACATACATACAACACAACTGCAATTGTTGGACATGTAGTATTCAATTCGCTTGAAACACAACGCAATTTGAGTGGCTTGTGCCTTACCTTCATTGCAAATTCAGTGCTGAAATCACTCTGAAATATTCCAAACTACGGCAGACAATCTTCTGTTGTCGTATATGGTCAGGTGAAAGTGCGCTGCAAGCGGTAAAATGAAACTAAAAGTCAAATCAGCCAATAGGAAAATATATATACACACATCTTGCCCTTCCCTCCATGCTTTCTTGCGCAAACATCTTCAAAATCTGCCCGAGGCAAACAGTAACCCTGAGTACAAACTCTGCATACAACATACCTATCGATTTCTGTACTTCATGCATCTGCTCCAAATAGTAGAAGTCCGCTAAACACATTTACACACTTTCTTATTTGAATGTATAACAGGAGTAATCTTTAGCCGTCATTTTCTATTTGGAATGATTTCGCTGTTTATTAATAAGGAAAGAGAAAACAGCTCTCTCCAACATTTACGCCCGCGTCACATGGTTTGATCAAGTCTTTTAGTTTTTTGATTATGGGACTCATTGAGGGCGCTGTCACTCCCAGTCTCCTACACGAAAACTGTTCAGACCGGTATTCGTCTTCCACACAAGGTCCAGTGGGCCAGAATTCGACTAGCGTGTACCAAACATGCCCAATTATTTTTTGAAGGCTTAGCAACACGCTTCTTTCTCTGAATTAGTGTAGTGAATATGTGATCAACAGACAAATCTTGACGGGCAATCCTGAGTTAAACAATGGATAATTAACAGACTGACTCCATACCACATTGTAATTCTTCTTCTTTTTCCGGTTTAACAATGTTTGTACATTTTCCGGTACCCTTTACGAGTCCCCAACTTTTTCAGTTGGCTTGATCTATGAACATTCGGTAGGACTCCTTGGACGAGGGATCGGCCCATCGCAAGGCCTCTACCTGTACACAGGGCAGCACAACACAGAAAAACGCGGACAGACATCCATGGCTTGAGTGGGATTCGAACCCACGGTCCCAGCGGCACAAGACCCACGCCTCAGATTTGATTTGATCATTAACATTTGATGAAAACACAAATCATGGAGGTCATGATGCAATTTTCTCTAGACAGCTGTTGTTTCATTTCTCTTAGGACCAAGCATCTCAGAACTCTCATCTTGCTCTCAATATATGATCTTCCCTTATGACAAGAGATTAATAATAACACACAATAGCCAAAGTTTAAATTTACTTTAGACATATTAATCTTTGCAGTTTAGATGGATGTCAGGAAGAAAAGATTCTAAACTGAAAATTAGCAAGAACTGTGCTCACTTAACCTGCTCTTAATTTCTGAGCAAATATAATTTTAATTTATTACTATCATTAAAAACAATCAAGTTGTCACATTTTTGCCAAGGCAACATTTTGTAAGATGCTACTTTTTTCACAGTAAGCAACTGCAATTCAAAATTCCAGTGGTCCAGTTCGACATGCACTGCAGTTCCGTACTGGCAAATCATTTAATCCAAGTCAAAATCCAGCCAGAAGCTTCATAATAATATAGGTTTTAAGAGACTAAATTATAGTCTGTTTTTTCCCATTCTTACCCAAAGAATCAATCATATTCAATTAACAATAATAAATAGTATTATCAGTATAAGCTGATACCCCAGCAGTGAAATCCCTATTTAAAACAATAGATGTGGAGCGTAATTGTCACCATTTTTCATGAGGTTAGAATTTCATTTCCTAGACATAATATTTAATGAAGTTAAGGTATAAAGAACTCTCTGTATGAAACCCACATAAATAATAAATCTATCATATTAGTGTCTAAAAATCAGGTCTGGAACAGAACGTCATTCTTCTGGAGCTGTGACGGGTACTTTAAAGAAAAGGGTATGCCAAAGAAGAACATAAATATGAGACAAGTGGAAGGTAACATACTTACCAATGATATATCATTCATTTTAACATAATCTCTAATGTGTCATTCCTGAAAACAAGTCCAATGAATAACACTAACCTCCATAAAAGTGATCAAAATAAATAAACTTATGTCATAATTACAAACAATACAAGGAACATCAAAATTAACGCACATTAAATACCTCATATTATTTCCATAAAATACAACTATTTATCATACACAGGGTTGGTCTACATATGAGGAATGAACATTTAGCTTTGGAAACAGAACAGGATAAGTAAATACAGTCCTCAAATATTATTTGCCTCACAATATTTCCACTCAACAGTGAGAAAAGTCACATATACAATTAACCTGCCTTTGGACTGCATTGCTCTCTGCAGTGAGACTAAAGATATAAACATGTTTGCTCATTATATCACCATCATAACTGCTGCCAACTAATCAACCAAATGATGTGATATTGCATATTCTGTTAGGCCTACTATGATCCATCTGGCTGACACCAAATACTATTAAAAAAATTATGTAGTGTAAACACGACAGTAACCAGAACTTCCCTAGGACCCTGCCTGAAGGATTCACACTTTTCCTCTCTTTATTTTTAATATTCCTTTTACAAACAACAAGAAAAAATGAAAGAAAATAATGAGTATCAATTAATTAATAACAGTAAATGTTACAGACATCTTCCTAGTATAACATGAACACTATACATGATGACATGATTAGGGCACTGGTGAATATATCTTCACTTCAAGCATTGCATCATTCCAATTACGAATTCCTTCCCAGTCACAATGACACTATTTCTATTGTCTGGGTTACAAACTTACACAAAACCATCTTTTCCTTTCTTCTACCACTTTTCAAGGTTATGAAAAAAATAAATATACTCCATAGATTTGTATATATAACAAAACAAAGGATCAAATTCTTTGGTTTCAGCACCTTCATCTGTGATGAAAGATTCATAGTAATATTTACTTTACCAATAATTAAAAATAGTAATAACTGTATGTCAACATTTTTATTGTATGTAATATCATTCATGCCAAACAGAAAACAATATCCTATAGCAACAACATAGTGGCATTTCAAAAATCAAAGAATATTTAGTTTCCGCAAGTACTTTCTCAGGAACTTACTAAAACTCCTTGCACTTCTAATCCAATACAGAGAACAGGATGCAACACAGTGCTGAAGATTTTCAGTGTTCTACGGTAGCCTGAATTTCTTTAATGTTGTTTTCATAACAACTTAATAAATATTTTACTTATGAAGCAAGCAAATGCAAGATCATAATGTACCACAAGCTCAGGAGCAAAATTTAATGTACTTATTTCACCATTTTCAATGCAGCATTAACCTACAAAAATTTAAATAAGGATAGAATACCTGGAAGTAGCTGGAAAGACCAATATATCTTATGAACCTTTGAATGAGCTTCAAAACACATAATTCCTGCAGGAAGAAAGCAAAGAAGTCATATTCTCAAAGTTTACCCTTACCAGATGAGTACTTGCAAGCTGTTAAACAGCATCTACTGAAACTCATACATAGGAATACAAAAATGAGTTGATTACAATGGGATACATATTGTAATTTAATATACTAAATTCATACTACTATATATTCACATGAACAAACATAAGTTGTATGAGTCCTGCAAACTTTGATGAAATCAATAAAATGTGTGTGTTTAGCAAGTAAAAAGCAAACAAATAACCAAAACTGGAATGTTTGCTTA